GTGTGTGCTCGCCAGACAGACAGAGAGAGACAGAGAGATAGAAAGCAAGAAATCACTCCCCAGGAGGGATGGCCATGCCGCAATCCCTTCTCCTCCATTCTCCTCTTGGGATCTTGGGCACGCACGCACATGCGCCTGGCGTGAGTTTTAAACCACCGGGACCGGGACTCGAACCGTGGTCGACTACGTGGGAGTCCAGCGACATAGCCATTACGCTAACTGCTGGTTCTCTATACTTGTATATTTCTTTAGGTAGACTCTTTCCTTTAATCTTTCTCACTTTGTCAGAGGGTACATGTGCTCGCCCGAGGCAGAGAAACAGATGGAGAGAGGAAGAGGGAGAAAGCACCTTACAATGGGGCTAGTCATGCTGCAGTCTCTTCGCCATTTCTCCATCCCACAGAGATTTAGGGTACATGGGAACACATGCTAGGCATGTTTTTCAAGTTACTGGACTTAAACAGCATGGCTGGCCATGTGGGATCTGAAGCATCTTTTGGATTAATAAATGCTGGCTTCCCACATCGCAGTGATTCTTAACACTCTTGTCATGAAGAGTGGGAGAAGGATGAAGAAGAGCTGTCATCTCTCCAGTGCCTGCTGGGCCTGCTAAGAGGCCTGGCATTGGGACCAGCAGTTAGCATAATGGCTATGTCGCTGGACTCCCATGTAGTCGACTGCGGTTCGAGTCCCGGACCCAGTGATTTAAACTCACGCTGGGCGCGGGTGTATGTGTGTGCTCAAGATCCCAAGAGGAGAATGGAGGAAGGGATTGCGGTGTGGCCATCCCCCCCGGGGGGTGATTTCTCTCTTTCTGTCTCTCTGTCTGTGTCTTTCTGGTGAGTGCACGTGTCCTATACCAAACCACCCCCAAACAAAAGAGGCCTGGTGTTTCCACATACACCAGTTCATTAAAGCCTTCGTCCAGCTCAGAGCTGCTAAATAACTAGACTGAGGTTCTATACCAAGTAAGTGGGAACAGAAATCTGAGACCAAGCCTATCTGACCTCAAGAACCATGTTCTGCTTTTATTTTAAGTTATAAGATATTATATAAATAGTTTCTTCTTTAAGGACTTCAGAAAATAGATTTAGCAAAAAAGTTAAATTTTCCTTTTTTATAGTACCCCCTTCTCTATCTCCTTAAGAGGTTTAAGTTTCTATTTTTAGATTTATTAGTTAATAGTGTGGTGTATTTTCCCAGATCTTTGTGTATTGTGTATGTTTTGCACACAAGTACATTCATACATATTTACGTACATAAAATAAGTCATAGTGTAGGTAGTATTGCTCACACCTTTTTTATTGGGTCATTGGGACAGGCATGACACGTTTTCGCATAGAAAAATACTTCATGACTGTTTCAGCGACCCGATAGTTGCCTCCCTTTAAACAATAGTTTTTCCTTCAATCCCAAGTTTTACAAGACTTCATCTGTTAAGCGAATTCAGTATCAGGCAATATCATCCTCACCTATGTTAAAGGCTGCTAGTGTGGTTAGTGATTAGGATGAAGGAACTAGTGTTAACTCACTACGTTTATAATTCTCCCTAAAAGCAAAGCATCATGGTATAGTGTTCCCTTTCTGATCTCACCACTAGTCTCTGCAGTTTGTGGTAGATTTTGTAAATAAACAACATGCCTCTTGAGGTTCCCAGTGGGCACAGAGCTGGGGAGTGCCGTGCTGTGGGGCTCAGGGGGTCTTGGGGCACAGGGACATGGAGGGGATGGGCTTCTCCACCTAGTACAGGCACCCGGGCCTCTCTCTCCCTCCCTTTTCAGTTCGAGCCTCCCTGGGCCTCTGGGAGGAGCTCCCATCAGTACTTAGGAGACAGTGTTCTTCTCCCCAGGCTGGGTCTCCGTAATGGCAGAAGCAATGAAGTCTCACCACATTATGGAGGCTTCCCACGCTGCCAGAACCCTGGCTAATCTAGACCGAGAAACCGTGTCGGAGAAGTACCAGGATGGCGTGTACGTGCTGCATCCCCAGTATCGAACCAGGTAGGAAGGCAGGACGGAGTCGCCGGGGCTCCCTTGGGAAGGTAAACCTAGAGGGCTTAAGTTTGGAATTGGTTTCTACATACTTCAGATAAGTTAAATACCTTATACATAAGTGAAATACTGGGTTTCCTGTCCGTGATGGTCCCCAGAGAATTGAGGTTTGTTGTGAAAATGAAGGAGGGCCAGCTGGCAGTGCAGCAGTAGAGCACAGCTCGAACCATGCTGGATCTATGCGGAAGGTCCCAGGATCGATCCCTGCTTGACCCCGACATGAGAGAAAGTGAGAAAGCAAGCCACCAGGTCTGGGATTCAAACCTTGGTCAGCCATGTGGGAGTCTAGCACCCTAACCACCATGCAACCTGCTGGCTCATAGCAATAACTTTTTTTAAAAAACAGAATTATTTAATTTAATTTTATTTATTCACTCATTATTATTATTATTATTATTATTATTATTTTATTTGACCAGAGAGACAGAGAGAGAAAGTAAAAAGCAAGCCACCAGGTCTGGGACTCGAACCATGGTCAGCCACATGGGATTGTCCAGTGCCTTAACCACCGTACAACCTGCTGGTCCCTAAATTTGATAACTATCAGTAGATTGCCTGATCAGTTACAATTTGTGAATAATTATGGCAGTGTATTTTATTTGTATATTATATAATTCTGTACGCTATAGTTTGCAACTAATATGCTGTGTACGGTTTTTAATGTCATATCCAAAGAATTAAAGTATTTTGAAATCTCACTTGCTCTATTTCTAATAAACATTATTTATTTTCTTTTATACATTTTTGAAATGCATATTGACTTTGAAACCATCAGAAAAGTCATGATGGATTTTTCTGTTTTTCTCTGCAAAAATGTGTCATGACTTTTCTGATGACCGAATATGTGAGTATATTCTTATCTGATTTCTGAAATACTTTTATTGATTTGTGGAATGCTCTCATGGAATCCCTTTTTATGTGATTTTTTACTTACTCATGATAGAGCACGTGCAGGCATATGTGAGAGAGGGAGCAGAGGTAGACCTGGAACAGGAACCTGGCTGTGAACCTTCTTCTGCCTCCTCTGGGCCCACTACAGTGTCACTGCCCGGCCTGTTTCAGGCTCACTGGGCTGGGGATTCGAACCTTGGTCTCCATGTGGCATCCTTCTTTTCTTGAGCAGCGTGTCAGCACATGCTTTGGAGGCGGCCCGTTCCTTATAGAATCCTTTAGGAGGTAATTTTAGTATGACATCTGTTGCCTGAGGGGCCACTGCACTCATTACCAGTGACTGTGGCTGGGATGGCTCCATTTATGTGGAGAGAGCAGGGAGCACTCTGTCTGTTTTTGCCAAACTCCTCCTAGGGTTCCTCAGCCACCTGGACTTATAGCGTGCCTTCGTTGTGTTTAAGCCTGCTAAAGTGCCGTCCAAGACAGTGCTGCGTGCGTTCTTGCCAGAGCAGTAATGCATTTATTCTGCTTCTTTCTAAAATCTCTCCTCTATTAGTCAGCCCATTAAAGCAGATGTCCTTTTTATTCATGGCCTTATGGGAGCAGCATTCAAAACATGGCGCCAGCAGGATAGTGAGCAGGCTGGAATTGAAAAGACCCTGGAGGATGAAGACAGGTACACGACATGCTGGCCCAAGGTAAGGCAGCAGCCACCGCATCCCAACACGCCACAGCGTCACCGGCTGTCGGATACCTCCTTGTGACATGCTTGTTTTTTTACTGAGATTTTGTTTTCCTATGAATCCCTAGGGACACTTAGCATGCATATGTTAATAGCTAGTCTTGTCACCCTGGGCCATGTGGTTTCTCCTTAGGGTGCAGTCTGTGACCCCGAAGGATGCCACACTTAGTGGAAGTAGGGGCAGGACCCAGCTATGGTGCAGGCAGTAAGGATGCTGCTCCTGGGGCAGAAGCCCGTGGGAAGGCTCCAGGTTCCTATCCCAGGCCCACCAGAATATGCTGGGTGTATCCACGGTCAGACCCATGACCCTGGCTTGCTGGACTTGGGTGAGGATCATGGCATGAAGATCCTGTCAGGAGTATGTGTCTGTCTTACGAGGGAAAATAAACAAAAACAACGGAGAAGAGCCAGCATTAGTTCATTTCCATTGAAGCATAATACAAAATACATAATACATATGCCTGCAAAAATAGGCGTAATTATATTAAGAATAGTGAATTCTATGACTTTAATAATTATACAACTAGAAAGACTTTGAAGAAGTAATTCTACTTGGCATCTCTTTGACATTGTTTCTTCCAAAGAGCCTTAACCCTGCAAACGCATCCATTGGATGAATTTATCTAAAGCTCATTAACATCGGTGCTGTATGGGACATGTGAATATTTTTGAGGCTGTGGTCCACTGCTTTTTATTTTTCAATGCCCAGGGCTCATGTGCACATAAGAGACAGAGAAAGCACCCCATCTCAGTGGGATCTCAATCACACGGCAGTCCTTTCTCCAGTGCGTCATCCCTCCAGGATCCTGGGCATGCACATGTGTGCCCACTGTATTTTCCAAGTCACTGGGGCTGGGACCCAAGCCTTGGTCTGCCATGTGGGATCTGGCTTACGTGTGCAGTGTTTACCCACTATGCTATGGGGCCAGCCCTGTCCCACTACTTCTTACTCACTTCGTAAATAGAAGGAATGGTTTGGGGGCTAGCAGATGGCATGGAGGCTAAGGTGCTAGATCCTATGTGGTCAGCTGCACAGTTCAAATCCCGGACCCAATGGCTCAAGAATCATGCTGGGTATGTGTGCGTGTGTGTCCAAAATCCCGAGAGGAGACTGGAGGAGAAGAGATTACAGCATGGCTGCTACCCCCCCCGGGGGGGTGATTTCTCACTTTCCCTCTCTGTCTTTCTCAAGTGCATGCGCCCTATAGCAAAAACTAAAAGAAAGAAAGAAAGGTTTGCACTTTCTGTCTGGTGTCGCTGAAGTACTGAGCATAGACCCGGGTTTGCAGAGACAGACCTGAGTGCCATCGGTGTCTGAATTCTCCGGTCTAGATGCCAACCATTAGACCATACCATCTCACATAGCGTACTAAATACTTTTAATTTGATTTAGTCTATAAAATACAAGCCTTGCTTTTGGCTAGAGCAGATTTAGATCGAAATATTCTCTTAAAGCCATCATTGGCCTTATACCATAAGTATTTATTGATACCATGTTACTACTATAGACATAAAATGCTATAACTGTTTTTTTAGAGAGATATTTTTGCTATAGGGTACATACACTCACCAGAGAGACAGAAAGCAAGAAATCACCCCCCGGGGAATAGCCACGCCGTAATCCCTTCTCCTCCAGTCTCCTCTCAGGATCTTAGGCACACATGCACACATGCCCAGCATGAGTTTTAAGCCACCGTGTCTGGGACTTGAACCACAGTTGACTACGTGAGAGTCTAGCAACGTAACCATTACGTCACCTGCTGGTCCCGCCACCACTGTTTTTATAGTCATCTTCTAACTTCATTCCAGTGTTGTCTTTAACTAGTTGTCAGTATTGCAAGAGGCCAGGACCAGCAGCTGGAATAATGGTTACGTCACTGGACTCCTACATATGTTTGAGTCCCGGACCCAGTGGCTTAAAACACACTGGGCACATATGCATGCTTGCCTAAAATCCCAAGAGGAGAATGGAGGAGAAGGGATTGTGGTGTGGCCATTCCCCTGGGGGCCATCTCTCACTTTCTGTCTCTCTCTCTCCGGTGAGCACACATACCCTATAGCAAAAATCACTCATAAATAAATAAATAAATAAATAAATAAATAAATAAATAAAGGAGTATTGCAAGAGGTCTTTAATTATAAATTTTAGTTACTAGGGAGTCGTCAGGTGATGGAATTCACGCTAATTCTTATGTACCTCTTATGTTCTCAGACGTGGTTAGCAGCAGACTGCCCTGCTCTCCGGATCATATCCGTGGAGTATGACACCAGCCTAAGTGACTGGAGGGCGAGGTGCCCCATGGAAAGGTAACAGGGAGCTTGAGACCGGGAGGAGGGGCGTGCTCGGGACACAGGTGGATGGATCCCCTGGGAAGGGAAGGATTTTTATCTTTGACTACCATAGACAGGATTCTTTTCTGAAAAACCAACTTAACCTCTTTTTCTTTTTTTTTTTGGAGAGGTTTTTGCTATAGGGCATGTGCTCTCACCAGAGAGACAGAGAAAAGGCGAGAAATCACCCTCCCCCAGGGGGGATGGCCACACCGCAACCCCTTTTCCATTTTCCTCTTGGGATTTTGGGCATGCGCACACACACGCACCTGGCGTGAATTTAAGCCACTGGGCCCAGGACTCAAACTACGGTCGACTACACGGGAATCCAGTGACATAACCTCTTTTCTCTGCCTTTTAGAAGGAGTTAGCTCTAAACAAGGAATGAAATAATAGAATCATTAGCTATATTGTCAAGGCTGGGCCCTGCCATGGCTCATGTACAACTGTTGTTACAGTTAGGGACTGATTCTGAATCTCAGAATGAAAATAGTGTTTTTTGCTTTTGTACGCACAGTCACACCTGCTAAAGGAAGCCGAGAGACACTGAGCAGTGTTGGCTTCCACACTCCTTGGGTCTCCTGGCTGCCAGGCATATACTGCCCCAGGGCGGGGCTGGCCATATGGTGCCCTAGCGCTGGGCCGACTGTATACTGCCCTAGCACGGGCCGGCCGTATACTGCCCTAGCGGGGGGCTGGCCATATGGTGCCCTAGTGCAGGGCTGACTGTAGCTGCCAGCAATTGTTTATTCTCTGATTCCAGAAACTGAGTGGAGAATAGGGATATTCCTAACTCCAAAACATAGTTATGTAGTTTGGTCCAATAAACAAAAGTTCTTGACTTAAAAAATTAAGTAGCAAAATTTGAGAGTTAAATACTGTCTTAGCCCTTTTTTAGAATGTAACAAAATACCTGAGTCTGAGTGAGTAAAAAGAATAGATTTTTTTTTTTTTTTTTTTTTGACTCTCAGTTCTGATGATTGTGAAGTCCCGAGGCTTCCCAGAATGCAGGAGGCAGAAGCTGTAGCGGAGCTGAGTGTGGCCTGGGTGCTGTGACTTTCCCTCGGTTCTGGTCTCGCTCCCTGTGCTTCCACACTACGAGAGCTCAGTCATGCAGGCCCTGCCCTAATCACATTATCACACCCAACGGCCCTAACCTAGGACACCATGAAGGAATTAAATGTTCATTTAATGCGCAGTACAGTCACGTCCCAGTCCGTGGATTTCTGGGGACAGCTAGTTGTCGTCCACTAAGGCCACATTTCAAAACATGAAACATTGGGGAATGATAGCAAATGCTGGGGGATCAGTAGCCTTTGTCACGCATGCTGTTTTTGTCTTGTTCAGAAAGTCCATTGCATTCAGAAGCAACGAACTTCTTACGAAGCTCAGAGCTGCTGGTGTAGGGGATAGGCCAGTGATTTGGATCTCACATAGCATGGGTGGTAAGTCTGGTTCAGCCTGGCAGAGTAACCCCGGGGAAGTTACTGTGAACCAGCGGAAGAGCACGGTACCTCTCCGTTTTACTTAATAGCAGCCCCTCTCCCTCCAGTTAATGTTTTGGCTATGACTAGGCGTTTTTAAGTGATTTCACTCCTCCGATGGTGCTTTTTTCTAGAAGGGGACATCTATCATAGTAACAAACCACATGAGAGGAATTTGGGCTTGGCAGCTGAGTGCCGTCACGCAGTGGTAATGGATCACCACAGAAGCAGTCCCCTTTCTTCCTACCCCACTTCCACCCACCCCACTACTGCAGGGTCCTTTGTTGCCCTACACCCCAGCTCCAGCCCCATAGCTGTGACCTGGCCCCTGCTGTGGCTCTCTGGGTCTTAGTGCCACTCTGGGCAATGTCCCCTCTCCTCCAGCCCACTCTCCCTCAGTCTGGCTCTCAGTCTGCCATCCACCTTGCAGACGACTTTCCCGCCTCCCCCTCCCCCCCCATCTACTATATCTGTGACATGCTCAGAAAGAGCCAGG